CCTGTCTCGTAAATTGTGACCAAAGTCAAAAAAATTGAATTTTTGGGTGTAAATTTCCGTGGGTCCCGTTTGTGTTATAGAAATTTACGTCTCGAAAAATTTCCTGATGCTGTTTGTATTATTTGAATTTTATTAATTGGTAAATTGATATTGACTACTCTATTAGCTATATTCATGTCTGTAGGAAGGAGAGGTCTGTTGTCTGCTTCTAAGTCAATCCATTCTTTAGAGAGTTTATTTGTTATAAAAGTATATTTCTTTCTCAGTGTTTCTGTTAAGAGTTTTATATCTTCTTTTCTAGTAATTGGTAGAGTTATATTATTTGGGAGGTCAGATATGTCTCCATGTTTAGAATGTTCTGATAATTCAGTATAGTTGAAGAAATACAAATCTGATAATTTTCTATTGATCATATATTCTTTTTCCAATGTGCTTAGAATGTTGTAAAATGAGATACCATCTGAAATTGTTATTTTGTTCCATGGAAAATATTTTTTAATATCTTTTTTCACGTTGTTATAATCTTCTGGTAATTTTAATTTTTTCTTGATCTGTATGTAGTTTTCAGGAAGTCATGTAGATAAGGTATAGAATTTTCATAATTCATGTTTATATTTGTTTATTTTTCTTATTTACTTTTTAGTTTGTATCAGTAGTTTTGTTTTACATAAGATTTCATCTCTTAAATTGGTGAAGTTTTGTGGTAATAGTTCTTTTGGACAATAGTATTCGATTGGTAGTAAGCCAAAGTCATATCATTTGTGTAATACTTGTAATACTTCTGTTAAGTGTGTGTTGTTTCGAAGTGAAAAGTTTACTTTTGGAAGTTCTACTATTGTTTCTTTGTGCAGATTGATAGAATCTTTAGACAGAAGATATTTGGCAGATTTGAATTCATGAAAATGTTTCACACATTGTCTGGTGAATTAGTTATAATTAAATTCTATTCTATTAGGTCTTTTATATGGTGATAAGATGAAGTTGATTATGTATATTATGAGTTGAGCCATGTCTCTTCCTCTCCAATTTTTTGAGAAATCTATACTATGTAAATAGTACCACATAATTCTCGTTTTCAAGTGATCTTATAATTCACTATAAAGTTGGGAGGAGAGGGCTTTTTCGTTATTAATGTTGTTTTTGTTCTTGAATTGTATAATTTCTTTTTCTAATAATGCAAACCATTCTTTTATGTGGTCTGGAGCATCTTCTAAGGTTGACAAAATATAACTTTATCTTTGTTATATTGTGAAAAGAAAGTTCTTAATATTTCTTTTTCGAAGGGAACTGTATTTCTTTTAGAGTTTGTTAAGTAATTTAACAATATTAAAGCATTTCTTGATTTAGTCATATATTGTGTATAATTGCTTATTGTGATTGGTGGTAAATTGTGAATAGAATCTTCTAGGTCATTTTCTGGATTTAAGTTTTGTGTATCATTATTCATCATATCTAGAAATCTTTGTCTTGTTATTGGTATTATATTTGTATTGGTTACATGTTTGTTTTGTTTTCCTTACATATTAAATGAGTTTTGTGTTTCATAGTCACATTGTGTAACTAGTTTTCTTTGTTTGTCAGCTGAATTATTTGCATGTTGATTATTTTTAGGGGGTAAAGGGTTATGTATTTTTTTGGAAGTGTAGGAGAGTTTTCATGAGAAGAATTAAATGGATATATCTAGTGAAATATAGTTTGTGTTTTTTAAAATGACAGTCTCTTCTATCAAGTTGATAGCGTTGATGTATAGTTCTTGGTCTTTCTAGTTAAGTGTTATGTTGTCCATACTATTTGTTACTTGTTTTATTCTTTTTTGTTGTAGGTGGAAAGGAATAGTGTCAAAAGTTTGAACCACAGCTGTAAATTTTCTTGTGTTGTAAGAGATATTAATACTGTTAAAAGTAATCAGCCCTACTTATTCAGGGTTATCGATAATGTTTTCTGTGAAGGTAGTTTGTTTTTTTTATTTAGAAATTATGAAAAGGAAAAAAGTAGGAAACTCTAGAACTCTTGGAAGTGTAATAATTTTTCTGAAAATGTCATGTTTCATAACTTTGTTTGTTTTTTGGTCTTTCAAAAAGAGGACTGCTAAGGCTTTTGATATTGAAGTATTTCCTTCAGGAAGTTGAACTCCTAAAAAAATTTTTTCATCTCTTGCATCTATAAGATTTTTGAATTTTTGAATTTTTATTTTTCAATTTTGTCAGATGCAGGAAAGAGTTTTTTTTTTTGATGTTTTATTGATAAATAATAAACTTTCATATGTAGAAACGTTTTATAATTATTTTTGAATTTTTTTAAAAAAAAAAATTAATGTCAATCATTTTATCTTTAAAAAATCTGAAAATAATTGTCGAACGTTACTACATATAAAAGTTTATTTTTTACTAATAAAACATCAAGTGTGTTGATAATTAATATTATAGTCAAGAATAAGTAGCATCTTTTGTGAAGTTTTTAAAATTTATTCTTGCGAATTGAATTTAATATCAACGGTTAAACTTCGGACGTTCAAAAATTATTCTCTAAAATTTAATTATTAATTATTCACTCAATTTGAATTAAATTTGTCTGAATATTTCACATAATTTGCTTTATATTCTCAATTTTAATGTTACTTAGTATCATTTTTATTAGTACTTTTGTAAAAAAAAAAAAAAAAACTTTCATATGTAAAAACAATAAACAATTATTTTTAGATTTTTTTTTTATTTTTTTAGAATTTTTAATAAATTTCAGCCGTTTTTATTCACGTCTAATTAAAGTCAAAATTATCACTATATACTATAAAAATTTTTTTTAATTAAAATTGTAGACATTGTTCTTGGCTACAATTTCATATAAGATAGTTGATATCTATCTTTAAAATTCATCAAGTCCAGTATGGGTAACGTTCAAAGATTAAATTTTTTATTTTTTGTCAATTTATTTAAAGTGTAATTTCTCTATTTATAGACATTTAATTTTAACACAAAATATATCATATGATAGTCCTAATTTAGAAGAATCTAATAAAAAAAAGTTTGTGCAATTTAGATCACCCTTTGTATCACAATTAGCATTTTAACTTTAATGATTTTTTTATTAATTTTTATTTGCCCTATGACTTTTGATACCCCACTGTACACCATTCTAGTGTATTATTCAAATGGTTTGTATTTATAGTATATTAGAATATAATATTTTAATTATACATGTTTTCAAAATTTATTTTGGATTTTTGTGATATTTCATCTTTTTGAGATTTACTCAGAATCTATTTTTATCTTTAATCAATAAATTTATCTGGATAGTTAAAAAATTTCGAATTTTAGTAAAATAATTTTGTCTTCTATAAAAAACTATTTTAACTTTTTTTCTTAAAATTGTAATTTCAGAACTTCAAAATAATTTTGCATGCAAGTATAATTCTAGTACATTTATTTAAACATTTTGTATTTATAATGTACTCAAATTAATATTTTTAGTATATTATTTTAATATTTCATATTTATAACATACTAGAATGTTTTTATAAAATTTCTGATATAGGTAGTTTAATCTCTGCAAGAAAAAGGTCCTGTATAAGGCACTAAAAAAAGTAATATTACAGGTTAGTAGGGAATTTGTAAAATGATTTTTATCAATGGGATCTGATCATTAGCTCATCACAATGAATCATCCAATCACTTAGACTAGAAATAGTTTAGGATAGGAATATTGATCTTTAACTATTGTTGTAATCTTTTTTACATAAATCAATAAAAAGGTCTCAATAGTAAAAAAAAAAATAAGTGAATGTCAAAAAAACAGTACTAAGTTGAATATTATATTAAAAGAACAGACCTATATAATCAAAATTGAATAAATGATTATTGTTTTAAAATTTTTCACCTTTCAAACTTTAACTACTAATTTTTCTCTCAATTTGATGATGTAAGTCTGAATTTTTTACAGAAGATGTACATTATTCTCACCTTTGAGATTACTTAGTACCATTTTTAATATTTACTTATTAAATAAAAAAAGTTTATATATAGATTACATGTGATATAGTTTGACCTCATCAACTCCTGATCAACTTGAAGCAACTCAAGTCAAGCTGAACTGTAATTTAACTGGCTTGAAGTCAAACTGAACTGATGACTTGAAACCCTGGTTCAGTTCTATCAGTTCAGTTTGGTTCAGCTTGACTTAGCTTGGACTTAACAACACTAGTTGGGATGCAGATAGTTCTAACTTAATATAAAATTCATTCATCAGCAATTTATACCAGAAGACTTGATTTCAAAAACTTCCAAAAGCCCAAAAATGATAATATAATTAATTAATAATTATTTAAGTAACAATTTAAATTTATTTAATATTAACAAAAATTTTAAATGTATTTTAGAAGTTAGTATAAATAAACAGGAATAATTATATTACATAATTTATTTATAAGTTGATCACTAAAGTAGATTTTACTCAATTATAATATATTTAGTAAATCATTTACATTAAGTTCTAAAAATAATAAATAAATAAAATGTATGTATATAATTCTAATTATAAGGAGTGAGACTCCGTTAAATTTAAAAATATAAATATATAATTCTTATATCAATAATATAGGTAAATAATGACAATTTGATTCAAATTTTATTTTAATGTAATAAATAATAAAAAAATGCAAAAAAAAAAAAAATACAACTACAATAGTGAATAATTGACAATGAATAAATAGTAATAATCCTTCCTCAAAATATATAATCGCTCATTTATTTATAATGGTTTAGTCAGCTTCAGCATCTTCTTCTCCAATAATTCGTAAGAATACTTCTTCCAAACTATAAAATGAAAATAAATAAAAATTAATAAAAATAAGTATATGTTAATATATATTAATATAATATTTACCTAGTTTGACTCAAACCCCAATCATCAATTCCATATTTTTTCTTATTTTTTTCAATTTCTATAAATAGCTTTGGTATTAATCCTGGTTCAGGAACAAATTCGTAAGACACATTAGTAACAAATGCGTCAAGTTTTCTAGCCGATGGTGGTAGGAGAGATTCAATATATCTATATTAATAAATAATAAATAATAATAAAAATAATAATTAGTAAATATATAAAAAAATAAATAAAATAATAATTATAAACATAAATATATATAAACAATAAGTAATGAAAAAAATAATAATAATAAAAAATAAGTAATAATAATAAAAAATAATAAATGAATAATATTATAAATAATAATACATACGCAGTTGCCGTTTCAACATTTTTTGCTTTACAAATAAACATTAATTTAAATCCACGTCCATAAATTTCTTTTAATCTTAATTGAGGACCGATACATCTTAAAGTACCTTTAGCCATTATACCAATTTTATTACATAAAACTTCAGCTTCTTCCATACTATGAGTGGTTAATACAATAGTTCGACCTTTTTTAGATTCATTTATAATATTCCAAATTAATCTTCGAACTTCCGGATCCAAACCAGTAGTAGGTTCATCCAAGAATATTACGACGGGATTACCAATTAATGAAATAGCGATTGATAATCTTCTCTTTTCACCACCACTTAACCCTTTGGTTAAACGATTTTTAAATGGTTCTAATCTAACTTGTTGTAAAGCAACCTGAACAGCTAATTTTTCATCCGAAGCAGGAATTCCTTTTAATCTAGCATAAAATAATAAATGTTCTACTACAGTTAAATCATCCCATAATATATCATGTTGAGGACAAACACCTATTGACCTATAAACTTCATTCATTTGTGTACGAATATTGTATTTATTTATTGAAGCGGATCCGGATGAAGGTTTATATAAACCAGTTAAAATTGAAATTAATGTTGTCTTTCCTATTTTATATAACAAATTAAATAATATATATATAATTAAATAAACATATAATTAATATATAATTAATATATATATATAATTAAATAATAATAATAATAATAATAATAATAATAATAATAATAATAAATAATAATAATAATAATAATAATAATAATAGTAATAATAATAAATTACCTGCTCCATTTGGACCTAAAAGTCCAAAAATAATATTTCTATCAACTGCGAATGTAACATCTTTTACAGCTAATTTTCCACTAGAATAAGCTTTTCTCATTCTCTTTATTATTAGTGGTGAATCTGGATCATAAGCATCTTCTAAAACTCGTTGTCTTTCTTCTTTAACATCCAAATCTTCAAATTTAGTTTCATCTTCATCTATGTCTTTAATACCTTTTTCTAATTCTATTATTGATTTTCTATCATTGTTGTTATTATTGTTTTTCTTATCAAGTCCTCTAAAATAATAATAAGGATCAGTGAAAATAAAATACCAAGGTTTATTAACTCCATATTCTGATGGGATTATTATATTAAGATAAATTGCTAATAAAATGAATACGAAATATTCAACTGTCATATAAATCATAGATTTTAATACAGGATTTCCTATAATTAAATCACTCATTCTATATGCTTCTTCGGTTTTACTAGCACTTTGATAATTAATTTCAGACAATGCATTACAAAAAGCAAAAGGTGGCCAAAAATTATAACCATTCGGAATTTCAGATTTTGCTTGTCTAGAAGTATATGTAATAGCTATACTAACTATAATTCCACAAAGTACTATTAAAAATGATACCACTAAAGCAGTTCTAGATTTTGAAAAGAAACAAGAAAAGAAAAATGCTAAAGCTATTTCTATATGACCCCAAATAAATAATAAAAGAATATAAACTCCTGGTTGAGTTTTTGTAAATATTTCCATCTTAAAAAAGAATCCAGTTACTATAAATACTATTGAAGTAATAATATGAAGAGTATAAAAATGAATATAATGAGATAAAAAGTATGTTAAACTTTTTAATCCATTCATTTTCATCATCACTAAAATTTTATCTTCTTTTTCTTTTACTAAAGTTATAACAAATATTGGTAATAAAAAACTAACACCGAATGGATATAAAAGTCCACCCACCAAAGGTCCAATAGGAAAATCAATAACAATAAGTTTTATTTGAGGAAATAATCGATACATGGGTGTAATTGTAACATCATTATTATAACCCCTTGAAAGATCGGTAGCAGTTCTAATAAATCCATTACTTAATTCAGTTTGAGTAGCTAATCTACGTTTACCTTGACTTGGATAAGATGATGCTGCATTGAGACGAACATCTTGACCTATTTGTAAAGTATAATTCCATTGTCTAATTTCTGTATTAATTGATTTCAGTAATATATTACCCCAAGGCATTTGATTGATAATTGGTGAAGTTGTTATATAATATGTTGCAAAACTACTCAAATCAGTCGTAACATCATCTTTCCATAATAATGCTTTGTCAATTAATGATAATTCATTAATAACTTTTTGAATAGATTTTGTTAATAAATCATCAAATTTTTCATCGTCTTCATTTTGTGATGAATTAATAAAGTATGGAACGGGTTGAAAATCACCTAATTTAAATCCAGATTCATTTGCATAATTTGCAAAATAATTAGTATTAGTATTACCTATGATACCTCTATTTTGAGTGTTACTAATATTAAAATTACTAACACCAGCATAATCTACAGTTTGATTTTGTTTTACACCAATATCTATATTTGATTGAATATAAAACCAAGGTAAAGATTGAGTTTTCGATAAATAATAAGCTTGGGTAATATTCTGGAAATTGAACCAAACATTGGCAGGATCCGGAATGAATGTACTAAAAAATAGATTATTATTATTTTTTTTTTTAATGCTTGCTCCAAGCGGACAGAAAAGTGAAAAAAAAAGGCGGTTGAGAATAAAAAGTGAACACTCACGTATCTTTTCTTAAACTATTATCACTAGGATCAATATAATTTTGATAAGGAAAAGATACGGGATAATCATGTCCAAATACGTAAACACAAAATTCTTGATCGCCAATTACATTAAAAAAACTTTCCCCCTCAGGTGCTAAGAAGAAATTAACCAAGCTAACAAAATCAGTTTTACCCGATGAATTTGGAACTTCATCAGATGGTAATTTATTATCCTGATCCTCTTCCCTAAAATTAGTTAAGTAAAATCCATATTGGTCTGATGCATTTGTATTTGAACATAATAAAAGTTCTTTATAGATAATATAATGTGAGAAATAGATAAAGTGAGAAATATAAAATATATAGAGCGTGCGTATGAGATAGAGAGAGAGAGAGAAAGAATAATAGTTACCTATAGGAGGATTATTTTTATCAATAAAACCTTTAAATACAATTGCTAATATACCCGCAATAGCAACCATAAGTAATGGACATAAAGTAATACAACAAATATTTGTAAACATTTGACGTTTCTGATAGGATAAAGTTTTTCGTGTCTATTTTAATAAAACAATAAATATTAACGTTTTAAATATAATTAAATATAATTGAAATTATGTTATGAATATTGATTTACGTACCAAAGCTCTCATTTGAAAACTTTTATTTACACGTTTAATCTCTGGTAATGGTATATTAGCCGTAGTACCTGAACTAATTGAATTTGATCCATTCTTATCAACTTCTATAACAGAACCTGTGATTGTATCTATATTAAAGAACATTAATTATATTAGTAATTTAACGTTATAAAATATTTTATAAAAATATTATAAAAATAGGTTATAATAAAAAATGTAAATACCAATATTATAAAATATTTTATAAAAATATTATAAAAATAGGTTATAATAAAAAATGTAAATACCAATATTATTATTATTTTCCATTGTATTCATGTTATATAAATTAGAATTATTCGTTTCTCCCTTTGAATTTTTAAAATGTGTATTATTAAAAAATATTTTAAATGTAAATAATTTACACCGTCATTTCATAAATAATATATATAGATAATGAAATTCAGGTAATAAATTTTTTTTTTATTCAAAAGACGGCGATTTTCGATGAAAAAAATGTAGATTATATATATATATAATAATAAAAAAAAGGATTTAACTTAATCTGGATTACTTCTCATTATATTACCAAATGAATAGAAATAATGAATGAATGAATGAATGAATGAATGAATGAATGATTACGTACGATAATGACAAAAATTATTCTTCTTAGCCAAGAAAATCTAAAAATAAATACCGTATATATGAAAAATAACAATAAAATTCAGTAAATTATTTTGTCGTCGTGCTTATTTTTATTTTGTTAATAAATCCCGAGGAAAAAAAAAAAAAAAAACGCGCAATTGATATACTAAAACAGTTATATTAATTAATTTTTTTAAATATTTTCTTTTTGTTTATTCCTTTTTAGTATGGACACACGGAATTTAGGAATAAAATTCATCCATTTACCTAAATAAGAAACGGAAAGGATTTACATAATAAATTTCGGGCAAAATAAAATTTTTAAATATAATCGAAAAAAAAAGTTTTGTTCATTAAAAAAAGGATACTCTATCTTATTTTATTAATGTAACCATTTGACCCTAAAAATATATATAATCAGAACCTTATCATAATCGATAAAATGGCTTTGTAATTTCTCGTTCCAACTTGAGATTATAGCATATATTATAACTTATCCCCACATTTTGTAGATCTTTGCTTTTTCACGAATCACGAATTAATTGTTTGCATGTATTTGTAACATTTCGGTATAAAAATTTTGAACATATGCAACAAATAAAAATATCGGATTCGCCACCAATCCTACCAGAGAATCTGATAGATTTGCAAAAGGTTTGAGGGTCAAAAACATTTTTTTTGATGACATTTTTATTAATCCATTTTTAATTTTAGCAGTATCTTTGCGGTCTTATTATATGGTGTAAATGATTAATTAGTATATTTTTGAGTTATTGTTAATTTATTGAGAGAGAAAATTTTGATAGTGATGATTTATTTGAACTTTAAAAAATATAAGACGGAAATGCATTCTCAATAAGGGAGCAATCATTGATCGGGACATTAAAACACATCCAAATTCCCTTTGCAAAATTGTTTTACTCATAAAACGCAAGGATTGACCTTACCAAGTATTATTAACATTAGATGGAAATATTTTTACATCGGGCACCGGGAAACTGCCTTTGACGCGTGACTAAAATTGATAACAAACTAATACCACCCCGAAATTAAACTTTTACGCATTCTACTGATTACATAAATTGAGTAAATTTCCAAATCGAGTATTTAATTAACTTTATACATATATCTTTATTTGTACTAAAATATAATTTTAACGTGATATTCCTTGTTAAATAAATTTTTCGGTGTACTTTAATAATTATAAAAACGCGACCTCCATTACACATATAGTTTATATTGATCACATGAATATACAGTATATACAAAATTATTTGTTACAATAACGGTTTTATCGGTCAAGTCTTCTGACCGATAAATTAAATATCTAATTATCAGATACAGTTTAGTTGTTATTAGCATTGCGAAGCATCCAATAACAGATTTATCTGTCAGCTTAAAAGTTTAAAAAGTTAATAATAGTAAAAAGAAAAATAATAATAATAAAATTATGCCTTTTCATATAATTTTTCTTGTAATTTAAATAATTTCTAAAGTATGTTTATAATAAATATTTGTTTTTTATAAATTAATAATGAATTTATATTTTTCTTATCTTCTAAGATTTCTACAAGCTTGCTCATGAAGAGTAATACAAAAAAAAATTGAAAAATGGATAAAAATTTTAAATAATTGACATCAAACTGTAAAATATAATTATCAAATTGAAACAATCAAAAATAAACAACTTGAACATGAAATGATTGAATTTATATGTGGTATACAATACACACTAGCCAAATACAAAAGAATCACTGGAATTCCTATACTATAGATTAGCTAAAATTCAGTAAAAATCAACCATCCTATTGCATCCTATATTATAAATTAGCTAAAATCAGAATTTCTTTTTGGTACAACATATCTTTTGTATTTGACCTGTCAGCCTTTAACTCAATTCTAATTTTTTTCAATTTTTAATTGCATCTAACTTAATAATTGCACAATTTACTATGTGAAAATGAAAATTTTACTTGATTCAATTTCAATTTTTTCAATTTTAATTGTGTCTAATTCAATTTAATAGTTTTAACAACATGTGTAGTATATAACAGTTAAATTCTGGAAAAGAATATGCACTTAGAGATGGTTGGCAATTAATTACATCTTGGCTAATTGATTTTGTTCTGGTTAAATTCTGGTTCAATTAATTGTGCCAGCTAAATTCTAGTTCAATTTAATTACACCAGCTAAATTTCAGTTCAATTTAATTGCACCAGCTAAATTCCAGTTCAATTTAATTGTATCAACTAAATTTTAACTCAATTCAACTATACTAAACTTCATCCCAATTTTTAAAATTCTCATTCTCTCATTCTCTCTCTCTTTCTTTCTTTCTCTCTCTCTCTTTTTTTCTCTCTCCCTCTTTCTCTTTCTCAAAATAAAAAACAAATACCTTTTTTTAAATCTCCAATTCATTATAAAAATATCATAGTAAAAAATTATTCTTTATTATACAAAATCAATTTAAAATTAAATATAAAACCAATTACCAATTATCTTTAAATATCAAAAACAATTATTCAATAAATTTTATAATTGTATTAGCTAATCAAAATTATGTCAACTAATCAGAATTGTGTTAACCAATTAGAATTGCATTAACCAATTAGACTTATGTCAACTAATTAGAATTGCACTAACCAATTAGAATTGTATCAACCAATTAGAATTGTATCAGAATTTAATATTTAACTATTACATCCAATTGTGCCAAAGCTAATCCCTAAGCTCAATTGACTAAATTTCTAGCTCAATTTATATTGCATCTCCTATCCTTAGTTAATACTAAATACTATACTAAATATACTATTGTTGAACAGGTTATATTATAAAAAAAGTATAAATATAAAAGTTTTGTAATTACAGATTTATTCAAAAGAGATTAAGAGAGGTGAGATTTTTATAAAAGGTGTATGTTATCAAGACAATATTTTATTAAAATAAGTTACAAAGACAAAACTATACTATATAAGTCACTAAGACAAAAACTATAACAAATATTAGTCATGAAAACAAAAATAATTTATTAAAAATTATAACAAAGTTTTATACAAAAACTATACAAAAGACAAATTCATTAAGAATTTAAAGATGTTGCTAAGACTAAGAAATAATTCACATAGAATTATTGTAAATTACAAAGAAGTTTATTATTTGTGAGTTGAAGAATTGATACTGGTTAAATAATCAAAAATTGATTAAAATTAACTGTCTGATTTTTAAATCATCTAAAAATTAATTGACTAATTTGCAAATTAGCTATCTGATTTTTTATATTTTTTTAATAATAAAAAAGAAAAAATTAATTATTTTTACTTTTTTTATTAGTAAAATATCAAAAATGTTACTAAGTAAAATTATAGTTGAGAACTAAATAAATCCACTAAAAAAATTTTAAATCTAAATCTTACAAATTAAAGAAAAGAAAAACATTTAAATTTTGAATATCTATTTATAATTTAAATATCTAACTTTCTTTCAATTTGTAGACTTTATATCTAAAATTTATTTAAAAGGTTTATTTAGTTCTTAGCTATAATTTTACTTAGTAACATATTTACAATTTAATTATAAAATTTAAAACTTTATAGTAATTACAATTGCTAATTTTATATATAATTTAATATTATATATATAAAAGTATAAAATTATTAAATAATATATAAAATTAACAATCATATCTATATATAAAACTTTTATATTAATCAATTTGTTACATATTAATTATATTATCCGTGAATTTAATTCTGTTACTTAGATTTTAGCTAATTTAGTTAATTAAAATTTATAAATAAATAAATAATATATATATAATTTTTTTCTAATAGTTCATTCTTTAAAATAACTACAATATTTACTTTGTTCTAAAATTTATAACACAAAAAAAAAACTTTAAATTTACAAACAAACCAATTATAAAAATAATAAACTTATTCTATATCATTATATTCTTGAACAATTTTCTGAAAATATGTTATTTTTTTATAGAAACATAATAATAATTTATTTAAAAAGTTACCTTGAATTTAATTAATATTTGATTAAAAAAAAATACATAAAAATTAATGTATTTCTGAAAAGTGTATTTTTAACTTTGTTTGAAAATAAAGATAATTTCAAATATATATTAAGTTAATAAAAATATTAATATATTTTAAAAAGTACTATAGATAAAAAAAAATTAAAAAAATATATTAAAATATGATCAAGTTATATTTTGATGAAAATAAGAATATTTCAATATATAGATATATTTTATTTGAAAATAATAAAGGACAATATAAAATGATATTTACTGTATATAAAAGTAAAATAAATGAAAAGAAGATAATAAATTTTTTTTAATTAGAACTTTATTAATTAATTTTACTACTAATTCTGATAAATTTATAAATAAATAAGTATAACTACTATATATATATTTGTATTTAATATTAATATTTTTTTTAATTATTATTATTAATTTATTAATTTATTTAATTATTAAATCAAAAAAATTAGATATTGTCATTTATTTAAAAACCAGCATTAAATAATCAAAATCATGTTTTATATATAATTAATAGATATAATTTAACAATATAATATCTATTCTTTCTTAATTAAATAAATCAAATAATACAAAATCTACTAAACTATATTATAGATTTATTTTATCTTATCTTGAATCTAATAATAAT